CCATCCCCTTGGGGAGCAGTGGGCTGCCATTGTGTGGCGCCTGGGAAGCATTGTGGGGTTAAGGGTCTTTCTCTGGAACCCAGATGGGCAGTCTGTTGCAGTGAGGCTTGAACTCAGGATCTCTGGATTCCAAGCCCAATGCCCTAACCACTAGTCCACCACTCCCCCTACAACTTCATGACTAAAGATTTTAACAAAAACAAAACTTGAGATCCAAAAGCTGGTTCAGACAAACCCAAAACACTGCATGATCTTTGAAGATCTAAGGATGTTGGCTGATCAATAACAAACTCAGAATGAGTTTGTTAGAACAGGTCAAAACCTCAATCATGCTGCATTTGACCAGACAGGAAAAATACTAAAAAACACATTTTCCAGCGTAATAATCACTTCAGTCCCAGTATGTGAAACCGGAATGTTCAAGTTTTATTTGTTTGTGTTTTTATAACAGATATTTTCTATATCTAAGTGCGTGGAAATCAATTTCTTTATGTGTATTTTGGTTCATGAGGGGGAAAAAAAAGCCATCTTTATCAAAAAAACGTTTGTCAGAAAAGTACAAATTACTGCTGGCTTTCCTGAATGACAATTCAGTTTTTTGCTCATTGCTGATATTTTTTATTTATTTGTTTATTTGTTAGTGTGAATTTAATGTTACATTATTATTTTTTTCATGGAGGACTAACTCGATTCTTCTGCTGTTTAAAATGATACATTACAGAACTTTTTATTATTATTATTACTCCCCCTTGTGGCCATTTTTGGGTATGACCGCTTCTTTAACTTTGTCCTATACTGTACTTTACTGAGTTTAGGGATCGTGAAGCTAAACTTACACCATATGTAATCAACGATACATCAACACATATTTGCTTTTCATAATGTCTTCAATTAAAATACATGAATGAAAAATCCCTCCATCCACATCCAAGCTTTATGCAGAAGAGGGTGTAAAACTAAACCAACATGCATCCATGCCACTGCATGTAAAGTTTATTACAGAAAAGTGCATATTCAAGGTCTATTTTTATTCCAATCCCCCAAACGTTATACAAAGCCAACCAAAGGATGTATGTTGAAAGAAAGCAGAAAAATACCTTTAGATGAGTTTGACCAACAAAAGGTATTCAAGGAGAAACATACAATCAATGCATATTTTAGCTCTAAGATCTCTTTTCAGTTCTGTAAATATTTCATTTTCTTGTTTGTGCTGCCATAATATTGATAATTTGTAGTTTTAAAACTTTCTTATCTTGCGTAACTGACTGTGATGTTGCTTTTAGGATCAAAGTGTATGTCTTTTGATGAGGTTCAATAGCAGCATTTCAGCATTAAGCACACATTTTATCAAGCCCAGAGTTTAGGCATTACAATTATTTTTATTGGTCAAAATTGATATGCTAATCTTAAATAATGTGGGGGTTTTTTCTGTAATCGAAAACATAATAAAACCATAAAAAGAAAGTCTTGAAAAGATCTATCTATGGTATAGAAGTTGCATCTATATTGTGTTTCATTTAGTATATTAATTGGATGAAAAGAATAAATTTTTAATTTTAACATTCAGATTTTTTTAATAGAACTTTGACAAAGACGCTCTACTTTACAACAATTTACAACCTGATAAAACTTGTTTTTTAATGTTCAAAGTAGTTTGTGCTCATAACAGAACAAAATGACTGACTAAGAAGGTCCTATAGAAGATAGAGACTGGTGAATACAAGTAAATGTACAATTATTACAGTTATTTAATATTTGGTTATTCATTACTATAACAAAAGAAAGTTAAAAGATTTTAGGACATCCATAACCAAGACTGTTAGGGCCACATACTGTTATTCGCACAGTGGTCATAGACAGAGTTTACAAAAAAGCCTAGTATTGCTGTATTAGCTTGATTTAAATAATTAACACAGCCAATCAAGTAATTCATCAGAAAAAAGGCTGAATAAATTGCTCTGTTAAAGAGTTTGAGTGCCGTTATTCATTATCAACTAATCAAAGGGAACATTTTTAATCCTCACCCTGAAGTGCAATTAACTGTGTGAAATAAACTCAAAATGTGGCTGTTTATCTGTTAATGTAGTACTATTATTAAAATTGATTGCTTCAAAGCTTAGTATTATTGTTTAAATTTATAACCAGATTAAGTTAAACCCTCCTACTAGGCTTTATTGGTTCTTTTTCTTTGAACAAAGTTCAAAGACTTCTAAAGAAGACCTAAAGACATTACTGGTAGAACTGCATACAAGAGCCCTTTGGATCTCAATGTTTAATCTACTTCTTTATGACATAATGTCTCCCATGTCCTATTTGAGCTGTGTTTATTATAATCTATACTATATATATCTATATACTATAGACATAAAAATAAACCCAGTTTTAAATCCAGGATTTGTTCATGGATAGCTGTAGTTAGTTACTGTTAGGGAATTGTACAAACAAATATGTCTTTCTTTTGAATTTATATTTTTAAACACTGGATCAACATGTTAGCGAAAAAGAGATTTGTTCTACTTTGTGTTTGAAGGTTTAGTTTTCATGGGAAAATCGCAAAAGAGCTGATGGTGTTTTGGTTTTTTTTTTCTTCTTTTTTTCTTTTGTTTTGTTGGGGTTTTTTTGTTGTTGTTTGTTTGTCGATGGTTACTTTTAATATTAATGAGAATTAATGAAAATGTAGAAATGGAGCCTAGGTGGAAGTTCAACTGATGAAACTGATTGCTCTCCTATATCCACCTGCGACACAGCCAATCAGCTTTAAACCACACCTCCACGAAAGCCAATCGGCATCAAAGGTTCATCTTAAAAGGCCTCCGATACGCACCTGTTTGCTCATGTGTGCAGATGGCAGATGTGCTGTGACTTCATTCACATGACACCATTTTAACCCACCTCCAGCCCCTCCTCCACCTTCGTAAATAAGCTTCATCAGAGTGTCACTCCTCCCAGACTCTTACTGCGTTCCCTGTCTCATCTCAACCGCTCCAGCAGAAGACCGCCATGTTGAGCCTGGTTCTGCCAGAGGTTTCTTCCCAATGGGGAGTTTTTCCTCTCCACTGTCGCTTCATGCTTGCTCATAATGGACAGGTTCTCTTAACCTGTGTTATCCAACTGGACTTCCGTCCTCCAGGTCCCTGAGTGAAGCTCTAGTATCAGCTCAGGCAGCCCACTGGATCTCCCCATAAAGCTCAGCATATTGTCTCGCTAACCAGCAGTCTACAGACTGACCAACTTCCTCTATCTCCACTCCACCACCAGTTCAGGCCTGGGGGGGAAACAGCCCTATTCTCTACTCCTGATTATGCATATCTATCAAAATTAAGCGCTATGTTTCCTGCCGAGGTCTGAGCGCCAAAGACAAAGTTATTGTATCAATAAATTTCTCCTAATTGTCTTTGTCTTCATTTGAGTTTTTCATATTGCACCTTAGTTTAGAGAAAATATTCCAAGTTCCAGGTGTATCGTTTTTAATCCCTCCACCTTCAAAGTTATTCATTTTAACTTCTTAGTGAAAACAGAAGCTTAAACTAAACAGCTTATTAATCTATCAGCTAGTGCCTCAGGTTTTCCTTTTTCCTTTTATTTATTTTTTAAGTTTTTATTTAAATTGTATGGAATATGTGGAGTTACAGTAGCTATAGGTGAGGCTGATCTAAAGTAGGCATTCCTAAAAAAAAAAACCAAAAACATATAAATCAGTCATTTTACTATTGATGTGCTCTTAACATTATTTTATCAGGTGTATATTTCTCATTTACTTTTGGAAGCTGCCTTCTTGAAATTACAAAGAGGTTGATTTACATTGTTGGCTACATAACATGCTTTTTTTGTTTGATAAAAAAATAAAATAGAATACTTTTTTGAAAAATATCAAATTTAATTTGGTTATAAAAGATGTATTTTTTCCCACATGTACACTCACATAGTTATCATAAATACCATCTATAATGATTTCTCTTTTGTCACAAAGCAAGCAAGTACAGTGGACAGATACATGTGATTTTAAAGGACACCATGGAGAATGCTTGCAGTCTTTTACACACAGAGGACATTTCAGTGCAATTCAAAAATAAAATGCTGTTGAAAAAAAATCAAGTAGAAACATTTATAAATCATCTACAAATGGATCAGAGTACAAAAGAGCTACAGCGTTTTGAGACACCACCCACTCACAGGTGAATGTTTTGGTTTTTATGACCATCTTATTTGTACAGTTTTGACAGATTTGACTTCTAACTCTACAAAGAGCAGCTTTAAAACATAAAAAAGAACAATAAAAGAAAGAAACAGAAATCTGCTGCAAACCAGACAATTTCTTCTGTCAAAATATGCCTGTAATATTATTGAGAAGGTATAAGGAGGAGAACTGTGATAAACACAACATACATCTTTCAAGTGCGACTCCAAAACAAACATAAATGGGAAAACATACATGTCTTTTAATTAAAGCTCAGACTCATACTTAGGAATTCAGATTGTGAGAAGAAATCTTTAACTTTATGATGTAAAATTGTGGAAAAAGCATGCAGAGCATTTTCTTGAGCAATCTCTGTTGCAAAACAAATGCTTAATGATATGTGTTTGAAAATCAAAAAAGGAGGCAGGAGAATGGTTTCATTTCAGTTTTTTTCACAACAATAAAAAACCCTTTTTTGTATTTTTGGTCGTCGTCAATTTAGTGTTGCATCAAATCTATGCTATCTTCAATTTACATGGCTTTCAGTTTGAGAGATGGTAGTAGAGATGAATTTGACATTTTTTAGAAGTGAATGTGTACTAAAAAGTTTTGTTGATGTATAAAAATGTAGCGTGCACCAACCTCAACATTTCTTGGCACCCATGTTTTTTCTTTATTTTTATGGTTAAATAAAATATAAATACCATCTATATATATATATATATATATATATATATATATATATATATATATATATATATATATATATNTATTTTTTTTTTTTATTTAAACATTTGAACATTTTTGAATCCAATAGATTTAACTTCAAAAGAGTGATGACATCTTCAAATAGATATATCAGGAGTTAATATTTAAATCTGAGGTATAGATATGACTTTGAGGCTTTTTTCTCTTAACAACTATTTAAAACTTGTAAAATTACGAATTAGCTTCATGAAAAAAACATCTTTCTTAAAATCCTGCATATTTACAATAGGAGGGATAGTTAAAATACTTTAAAAAGCTGGTACTACAACAAATATTTTTCGATGGGGCGTAAACTATATTTTCGACATGCACAGTGAGGATGTAAATAAATTATTCTGAGGAGCTCAGTGCTGCAATGTTCATATAAATGTTGTTTTTCTGGGTGAAGTTGCCACTGCAATAAATGGATTTGTTTTTATGCCTTTTACTCTACATTTATTCAAGGGTGCCAATAAATTTTTGAGGCTAATGTGCAAAATTTTAACAATATTTTTTGGAGCAACAAAATAAAAGTTTCACTAATTTAAGATTTTACTCGACAGAGATCATGAGAATGAAAGTAAAAATTTGTATTTTCTACCAGATTTATAAGCTGTTTAAAATGTGATTTCTGTGGAATATGCTTATTAATGTAGTTGAAATGGAAGTAAAGCAAATGTCTGCAACATGAAATCCAAAGGAAATGAGTCAACATATCTTACAAATTTCAAAAAGCAATGCATGCCTTGATATTTTGTAAATTAAGCAATTATTTTCTGTGGTTTCAGTCTTCCATTTACTGTATTTCTGCAAGATATAAACAAACAACACAGTGCATTCAATGAAAGCAGCAGAATATTATTTAAAAATCGGATCAAAATAAAAGTGCTAAACACAAAATGCATCACATGTCCACAGGCACATAAACATTTTTTAATCCAGTCAGAGAAAACATCCACTTTGTGCAATAAGATAAACACAGAATTTTCTCTTGAACTAGGCGTTTCATGACAGTTTGACAGGAAAGACGACAACTATTACTGCTCTAATTTATTTATCCTAGAAGTGACAAAGCACAGAGGAACAGTTTGGAAACCAAAACCTCTTGTAAGTCAGTCTTGTAATCAAAAGAGGAATGTTGTGATCATGTTATATTTAAAAAGGCCACTGAGACGGCTGTGCTCGCCTGGCTTTTAATGCCCTGGTTCTGATCTGCTGTCAATTTCCTTTATTAATCAAACATGCTAACTATTAGATGTGAGTTTGATACAAATAAGAGTGTATCTTCTTTCCCAATATATCAATATTGCACATAAATATTTTTTCATTTCGTGGCCAGCATTGCTCCACAGAGCACATAACAGTGCAGCGTAGTTAAGATTTCCTTAAAAGGAACAGGCATTCTTTCTTGGTAAAAGACAGCGTTTAAGGTTTATTTATTTAACTATCTATGGTACACATTATGCTTCCATTTACAAAAGAATGAGCTTGTGAATTCTTTAAAAAAATATATTAAATAAGGATAATGTAAACCCACTCTTAGTTTTTGGGAATGTGTGCCATTTGACCATAAAGTAGTTTTTGATTTGAACATTTCTTACTTCGTCAATATATTCAGAATACATCTCAAGCCTCCGTGGCTTTCATTACTTGTTTTTTTATATCTAAATGCATCACATAACAACTTTTAAATGTTTTATTATATGGTGTGTTGTGAAAAAGTGGAAGAATTATTCATATATAAATTGATAAAGCGTCACCCATAATAAAGATAATTTTATGTTGCTCTATTTTGCCAAAGGTAAATTCTGTTTTGGTTGATGTAAAGTAATTTTTTTAGGCTAATACTATATTCTACAGATCAAATACTACATTTACCGGTACATTAAATCTACAGTATCATTTACACATTTTCTGCATTCAGCCTGATTCTGTCACCTTAAAGAAAAAAAGGGGTGGAAATTACCTTGCTCTTCAAGCTATCTGTCAATCTAGATTCAAATCTCCTTAATTTTCTCCCCTTCTTCCTTATATCCATTCGAACTGCTGTTCATGTTCATATCAGCCTCTCTTTCCATTGTTCAACTACAGTTGTGATTTCTACCTTTATTCTCCTTAAAGATATAAAGAATAGGGCAACATTCGTCCTGTAAATGGATCAAAATACATTGAATTTTTAATCAAATATGATGGCAAAGTTTACTATATTCATAATCTGCATTTTACCTTACTGCAGCCAAGTTCAAATGTATTTTCATTGCTGTCATGCAAAAAAATAAAAATTGAAATATAAAATAATCTGCATATCAATTTCCATCCTCTGTTTTACTTGTGAAAACCATCAAAAAGTTGTAATAGTATTAGATTTAGACTTCTTTAAGTTTAAAATGTTATCAATGAATGATGATGCCTTTGAAGATACCTGAAGACACTTGTAATTCTGCATGCAGACATAGTACTCCACTGTGCTTTAAGGTATCATATGTAATGTTATTGCCCCAGGCAGCAGATGCATCTTGAAAAGTTTCACTTATTAAATTAGCAAATAAACTGTCTCAAGCTAGATTTTTAAAAAATCAAGGTTTTAAAACTTTTAGTGTTAACCCTTTTTTTCCATATAGAAATGAAAAAGATGTCATTTTTAGACTGTTTGTGGAGCAAGATGGCATTTTTTTTCCTTTGAAGAGCAAAAAAGGCTTTAAATATGTCTTCCTAAATGTCATGTTGTGATTTGAATCCCTGTTATTAGTTCTTTATGGTCCTCCCTATACGATATTCCGCCATTCTATGTTATGCATTGTGGAAAAAAATGGCTTCATAACTCGAGGTTGACGAGGGTGTGAAATAAAGAAGAGGAGAAAAGCATGTCATGAAAATCCTAGTTTTTCATTTTAAAAAGCATCCCTTAATTTGAAATACATCACAGTAATATGTGTTTGTGTCTGAAAGTCACTTCACTCTTGATTTTGGCACTCCACTGTACAAAAGGTTTTTTTGTTTTTTTCCATTAATCAACAAGTTTGTATCACTTGCTTGTCTCCCGCAGTCAAGGAGTCAAATCACATGGCCACTCTGTAATGCACTGTCACATCACAGTTGATTGTATGGATGCTATGTACAGAGCCCCACAGGTGTACTGTATTTGTTGTAAGGTTATGCTATTTGTCATCTTTACTGTTGTTTCACAGGGGAGAGTCTCTTTAGCAGTTTCTTTCCCTTTGAGAGTATTCCTTTCTTCTTCTTGTTTGCCAGATCTTGGGCATCCCTGGGGTCCAGTGGGACATGGTGTCCCCTCGGAGGACTCAGTGGTCTCATAGTTCCTGGAAGGAGGGGGCGAACGATCGGGGATGGGGCCCGAACCGGTGTGGTGATGTTGTTTGTCGTCTCTGTGTTTTCTGGAGTGACCTGAGGAGATAAGTGATGGGGAGATTTGGAGGCAGGGGGGCAGCGTTTTGCAAATGAAGCAACCTTTTTGGTTTTCTATAATTTCTCTGAGAATTTTTGTCAACACAAAAAGATCAGCAGGTTTTAGAATCATGACTTAAAGTTTATCAGCTATAAAATAGTAAGAAAAATAGAGAGCACCATTGCAGGAAGAAAAGTACACTTTGAAATGTGTTTATTATCTCCTTAAGGATGCATCGATGCTCAAAGTTTTGATATACTGATGTGCTTTCTCATAACACTGCTGCTCATTTAGTGAGAATTTTTAAAAGTCAGCTGTGTGTATAAAATATTTTTTTTTGGCACTAGCCTTACTCCTTTAAGTGTCAAACCCTGCGCCATCATCGTGCTTCAAATGTAGATTTACAAAGCTCACATGTAAATGTACTTGTTAATTTCATGTAATCCATTTTTTTTTTTTTTTTTTGCTTTGTCTATATCTTATCTCTGCTTTAAAACAAAAAGTTTCAAAGCAGAGATAAGTTTGTGTAAACAAGCAAACTTAAAAAATATATATATATATTCAGGGTATGTTTATTTAAAGATGAGCTGCAGATGCAGATGGGATGATCCCCCCTAGAAAAGATTGGCAACTGCTTCAATTGTTTTCATAATTCTTCATAACATCCAGCATTATTATACAAATGATCCTTTGCATTCCAAAGAGCAGTAGGAGTTTCTCCAATGCCAATGCAAATATCTGTCCAACTTTTTTTGTGACATTTAACACCTGCAAACTTATGCTTTATGGAGATGGTCACCTTTTCTATTTATTATGTAAGGGTTTACTCTATATCACACAGCTTTGCCACTTCAGCTTCAGATTTGATAAATACAGACTTTTTAAAAATTAAAATATCCCATTGAATATTCAATTTCTTCTTAAAAACATTGCTATATTAATGGTCTATATACAGTATTTAAAATATAGTAATTGATTACAGGTAAAAATAGAACAGTAGAAATACATCTATATGTAAAAATAAATATTTTAATTGGGGAAAAGTTGGGACATTCTACCAATAAATAACCAGTAATACCCGATGAAGTGATTTCAAAGAGATGCTTCTAGTAGCACCCTATCACTGCCTGACAGCCTGAAAGAGTCTACCATATTAGTCAGTTTAATCTAAGAGATGTTTTAGCTCTTACATCTCAAATTTCCCTTAAGTCGCCCCGTAGAATCTTCAAATAAAGATGTCTGCCTTGTTATTGTCAAGTGCTCTTTAATTAAAATATCTCATCTCATAGGGGAGTGTTGGCCTAGTGGCTAAGAGCAGGGTGCTTGTGCTCTGAGAAGGTTGCAAGTACCCAGTTTGATCCCCACAGCCTCCACTCTGGGTTCCTGAGCAAAACCCTTAACCCCTGAATGCTCCCTAGGCGCCACACAGTGGCAGCCCAATCCTTCCCAAGGGGATGGGTCAAAATGCAGAGAATGAATTTCCCCATTGTTGGACAAAAAAGTGATTTACATTACGCGTCCAGTTCTTTATGGATTGGGCAGTCATCTTGCTGACCAGTTCTGCTTTGTTTTTATGCCCACTGTTTTTACAGATTCTCTTACCGGTACTTTTCTCACGCACTCCCTGAATACATGGTGGAATCTATGACTCTGAGCTGATCAGGTCTATCTTAACAATGCATTCCTGATCCATGACATTTTAGCCTTTGAGTTTCACGATTGGGAAGGTGTTTGTCTGAACATTTTTTTAGCTACCCGCTAACCGTGCTCTCTGGTCTGCTGTCCACCTTTATTTTAAACTTATCTGGCCTACATAGTATACCATAAGTACCAGTCTTGCTCTAAATTCTCTCTGAAACCCTTTGTTCTGGCCATTGTGATTTCTTTGAAGAGCAAAGATTTTGTTCCTTCACATCACCAATGGAGAGTTTTTTTTGCAGACTGTCTGGTTGCACAGGTAAACACTGTCAACAGTAGTTTTAGCATCTAGCCATCTGGTCCCAGAGTAAACTTGCATGCACAGCCTGACTTGGAAATGTTGCCAGTTGTTTTGAATCACCTCCATTTGTATATCCTCCACAGAATAGAATGGATGATTTTGAAATTCTTAAGAAAAATAAAAATAAAAAAAAATACCAAACTGCTGCTACAGTCTTTGTTTCTAAAGTTCCTGGGATATATTTCAATGCCATTTTAGCAGATGCATGTACAAAGTTTAACGAAGGAAAACGTCATGAATATGTTGGGTAATTACATCTGATTCATGTTCAGCTGGTGAGATATGCCCTTCGGGTACATGATGCTGTTTTAGCTTGGAATAAATGTTTTTGGGTTTTTTTTTTGTTTATCTATATTACTTGAAGTTTTTGGTATTGCTAAGATATATATTAAGAATCTACACATCCAAAAATGTTAAGAGAATGCTAACGGTGACTTAATAATTTCACATAAACATAATGATTGACATGATGACTTTGGTCATTTTAAAGGCAGCATCTCTTTCAGAGAGGTACCAGAAGACATGATATATATAATCAATTTTTTTGTTTGCTGATCAAGATTGTTTTTACCTTTTAAGTGCTTTAAACTAGAACTGATACTGTTGTAAGATCCAAAGCGACACAGAATATAATCAAGAGACACAAGAGGAAGCCAGAAAATGTTAAAAACAACATCAGCACGCAACAAAAGCGAAGAAGTCCACCATAAGTCGGCCATAAGGAGACATGAAATACAATTATTTACATTACAACACCCAGGGACTCAACTGCAGATTCCAGGCTTCTTTTCTAATGCAAAAAGCTGCTATTTTCAATTTCAGTTTTTTATGTATCATTAAAAATTTTTGGTTTTCAGAATTTTGTTTGCATTTTCACAGAAGCTTTGGTGGATTAAAAGCAATAAACTTAAAATTAAACCAAGTAAAAATTAAATTTGATATATCTAAGTCACGGCAGGATGCAGCACTAAATAAAGCTTTTGCTGCACCAACAAGCTGTTTGCATTACAGCTGCAAGTCTGAGATCTCCAGTTGCCAACGTACTGTACAAGGGCAGACAGAGCCATTTATGGTGTGAAATTAAAAATCTTCCTCTGTTTGTTTGTTTTGTTTTGCCAAGCGGGTGAGGAAAAACAAAAAAAAGAAATCAGATGCAGCAGCGTTGTCACTATCGAGAAAACCCACATCACTATGACAACTGAAAGCAACAACACCACCAACACACATGAACACACAGCGCAAACAAAAATGCTTTTAATATCCAATCTTTTTGGGGTTTTTTTTTTTGCTTTTATTGTTTCATCATAACAATACAGAATGGATGTCTCAGTGCTGCGGTTCTCTTGAGCTCAGAGCAAACATAGCATATCCACCGTCAACATGGCTGAAAAATAGATTTGATGTGTGGGCAAGAGAAACAAAGCCTCTCTGAGAAAACACACAAGCTGAGCCAAGAAAGTTAGAAAATGTATCAAGTTTGAAAAAGGCATGCTTTTCTTTTTATTTGAACTTCTCTTTAATAAATTATTTGAGTTAAACTGGGTAGCAATGTGTTACTAAAGCACTTTTTTATAGAATTGTACACAACCGCAATCTGACTTTGTTTCTTAGTGCAAAGAGTTACCAATTGTTTGTGTAAGGAATGAGTTGAGTGTTTGTTTTTAGATGTCCTCCTCAACCACTTCTATATGCACAAGCAACCCGCAGGGTTCCCACAGTCTATACCCCCTCTGTCCACAGGCTTTGCTTCTTCCTTTCTCTGAGATTAAGAAAGGTGTGAACACTGGATTATGCCCTCTATCCGAAGGGTGAAGGGAGTGGGAAAGTTGTTAGTCTGTATAGAGTCACCACTGTCACCACATGGACAAACACACACAATGAACAGCACACAGACTGCAGGTGGGGGAAGCAAGAGACGGAAATCAAGAGGAGAGGAGACGAAGGATGGATGAACACAGGGCCTAGCGCTGAGAGCGGCGATGGTGATGTACCCGTTTTCCCTCCGACATGTTAGCAGCAGAGTTGGTACTGGGCCGATTGGCGGGCTCTTCCTGGGGGTAGTGGGACGGGGTGTCGGTCAGATAGACCTCCACGTCATCAGGCACTTCTTCCAAGAAGTTAGAGGGCACCAGGCCGCGATGGCCATTGAGCTCACCCTAGGAGCATGGATGGCAACAAAGGGAAATAAGTCAGCAGGTAAGTTAAGGTGAATTATCAGATATGACCCAAGGTGTTTCAATGATAGGAAAAGTTTTATTTTTCTTAACCCTTTATAGGGCAAGTTACCCTTTTTGATCTCTTGCATACCCCTTAGAAATGGAGCCCCCCCTGTCCACCCATTCAGCAAAGATGCTGCTACATGGCTATACATTTTACTTTGGCGTTTGACCAATTAGAAGAGCCCTTGAATGATATATTACCTACTGTAAATTAAGTTGGAAAAAAGAATACCAAGTCAAGAAAAAAAGATAAAAAGCTAATTGAAATGTTAGAAAGTAAAGCTAAAGGGTTAATAAACCTCTAAGGTTATGTTGTACCTAAAATAATTGTGTCTCTTTCACTCTCAGAGTATTTTTCATGAATTTCTTATAGAAGCACTTTTGTTATTTTTCTTCATATATTTGGGCAAGTTGGCATTTCTTGTTATTACATTTACATTAATTTTCGTCATCAAAATATCCATTTTTTTTATGTTACAAAGATAATCAGATTATTTGATATTATGCAAACTTGAAATAGGAGACTGCACTTTTTCCCTTAAATTTTCTTATTCAATTTGCAAGGTGTCTCACTTACCTGCTCAATTTAAGAAAACATGCACTTATTTTAAGAGGAAATTACTTAATTTAGATATTTAAAGTCTTTCACTGAGTGCCCTATAAAGGGTAAAACATCTTTTAAACATCTGAAACAATCTTTCTATTCATTGTCTACAACCACGGTTTGAAGGCTAAACCGAGGTACTGCCTCAAAAAGATATTGTCCTTATTAAAGAAACCACCAAACTATATAATTTTAAGTTTCAATTTCTACTAATATAAGCATTTCACTATAAAGTGCTAAAATCAACTTACAAAAGAAGTGAAAAGCTGACTAACCATTATCTTCCAAAGGGTAGACAGTGTTTACATGTCATCCCTTTTGGTACCCATAGTAACCAGCTTCTAATGGCTACTCCTAGCAGCGTAAAGTACTTTACCATTCCTCTAAGTACAATCAGCCCTATCAATTATGCAGGGATTTTGATTTTATGAATAATTAACACTCACATAATAAAACCCATCTTCATCAATGTCCCCAAAAACAGCAATGATGTCACCAGCACAGAATGTCAGCTCAGCCTATCAGGAGACAGACACAAAACGGGAAATGTAAATTGATCAATTTTTTTTGGCCTAACTGTCATTTTAAATACTTCCTTTTTATTAATCAATGTAAAATAATTTAGATAAATCCTTGATTAGAAAAACATTTTTGATTTACACCATAAACCTTTCTAAAAAGACATAATTGCTAATGTAGATGATTATTATCACTAATAGTCTCACTTCAAAGGATGGCAGTACCTCAACATCAACATTAGGGGAGCTCTCTCTGGGATCGTAGTCGTATAGGGCCACCATTCTTCTTGAGGGCTGATCTCGGCGAAGCCCCCTTCTGTTCTGCTCTAAAGGTGATAAAATGAAATGATTCAAAAAGGAAAAATGTCATCCAGGGAATTGGTTTAGAGTATTTAAATTCTACTCTATAATAGCACTTGAGTGAAAAAACCTGATCATAATGCATTACAACACACAAATTAATAATTGTTAGTATGGATGGAGTCATTACTTATGGACATATAGATAGGTAACCATTAAGAAAAACTAAATTAACAAAAAATAATGAAGAAACATCAGAAAATAAACCAGAAGCAATGAACATCCAATCCTATAAGGATTTGAAATGGTTCATAATTTGCTGCCTGTTATGAAATCTCAAAGTTTGTATAAGACTTGAGTTACTTCTTTTATTGCTTGTGTTTTTTTATTTAAAAAAAAATATATATATAACAATGTGCCTGTTGTTGGTGTCTAACACTTTCTGAAATATATTTAAGATTTGATAATTATTTTTAGTGCACACAGATAAGAAAAACTAAATCCATTTTGATTCTTCAAACAATAACTTTCCTTAATCTTTGTCCACAGTACCTATTTTGTCCACAGGGGTGCTGAGAGGCAAAAAGCCTTGCTTGATGAGCTGATCCATGGTCTCCTCATCATCCGCCCGTATCTCTGACACCATGTTACAGGGAAGCAGCCCCATCCTGTCTTTTATTGCTCCTCTGTAAAACCCATCTGTGTCCTTATCACCATAAACCTGACAGATATGAGAGAAAGACTCAGATTTTAGGAGCTTTATTATCAAGTATTTGTATTCTCGCAGCACACTTCAAGAAGGATGGAATTTACAAACATGTATGCTCTAATTCACAGCAAAACAAACGGGTGTAGACAGAAAAATATAGGTATTTTTGAGGGGTTTATTTATAGATTAGAATTTCCTGTAACGTTTTAATTTTATTGTTTTAAGAAAATATTCATTACCTGTAGGCTTTTATATTTATGACTCCGTAAAGCAGTTTTATATAAGTTTTTTTTTTTTTTTTTTTTTTACAATAAATGCTGATATCATAACAGAAGGTTTCTTTAAAATGCAGCCCAGCAATGAACATCCCACCTTAATTATTTGCCCCTCTTTGAATGGCAGCTCCTCATCCGCAGCATCTGGGTTGGGGGACATAGACAGAGGATCGTAGTCAAAGAGGGCCACAAATACCCGAAAAGGCTCCTCAGGCTCTGACTCGTCATAGTATGTTGGAGAGCGTCGGTCCCGATTCCTGTAACCATCTTAAACACATAAAAAAGGAGGAATCATTAAAAAAAAAAAAATCACACTGGTGAAATAATGGATGTGACCAAAACAAACAACAACAAAAATAAAGAAGGCAAAAGGTGCAAGTAGTGTTTGTGGAAGTTGGCCACGATGGATCAGACTTCTGAGGATCATGTTGCATATAATGTTCAATTAACTACTTTTTCTACAACTTGATGAGATAAGCATCTTTAGATTATATCAAAGCCATGTCCCAGTAAATAGAAATTGATGAGTAAATTTTGCAATTATGCATTGTGCTATATTATGAAATACAAACATGAATAAAAAAAAATCTCTCTTAACTGCTAATGTGCTACTGCAAAAAAGGAAAAAAGAAAAAAACATTTACTGTGTAGAAACACGATTTATGGTATTATCATAAAATGCCAGTAAAGTTCACAGTTTTTTTCTCTTTTCCATTTTGTAGAAGCAAACAAAAGATTTTCGCCTCCTTATATGTGCAAGATTTCACTTATTGGGAGTGTTCAGTCAGAAAGTCCTTCATCAGAAGCTCTGAAAGTGAAATCTCGCGCAGATCAAATATGCAAGTAGCTTCTGGACTATTTTTGTTTTCCAGGAACTTACCAAGATGTATTTAGTACTACAGGAAACCGGCTATATCTCCATTATATAAAAATTGTGGCCCCCACATATTATCTTTCTTATTTAATTCTAAAGCCTACCTCAAAATATGCTGGTGGCTGTCTTTATTGCTATGCTTGGGAGGTAGAAACAGCTCTGCTGACATACCAGGCGAAGACCTGGAACACCGGGCGCAGTGCTGCTCCCCCCAGGACACTGACATGTGCATCATTTCATGGGCATTACGCTGCCGTACGTTATGTATAAGTTAGGCTGTCGTTGGACATATGCTGTGGACTCTTTATGAATAGGCTATCTATACACCCAATATTGAAAAAATACATGTCCAGCGTATGCCAGCGTTTTTCAGGATATTCTGGGATGTATGTACTGAATCTGTAAGGTTTGGCAGGGCCCTCATGTATGTTACTTTCTGGCGTCTCCTGGTTTTGGTTCCCTTTCTATTATTTCTGGATTTGTTCTTCCATCTACCTCTACTCTTAAATCTGCAAGAAATCATCTCTGCCTCTTCATCTCTGCATTTGGGTCCTAAACTAACATCCACTAATCTTGACAATTATTGATAGATTTGCTGCTAAAATTAAAAAAAGGAAAAAAAAAATAATTGAAGGAGAAAAGACAGACATTTAATGAGTTTTTGCTCCCCCTAAATTTGGCCACCTTATAACTAAAACATGTAGGTATCTATTGAATGAGACCAACACTACATAGTGCATACAGTGACACCTGACTTAAATAAATAACAGGTTATCAGGCCTTTGAAACCCTTGATGTCTGTTCATGATTTAATACAATCATTTTAGTTGGTTGTGCTGGAGACATATCTCTACCATGCTAGCTCATAGGATGGGAAATGTGTGTTCACTAGGAATAATTCTAGAGTTTGGCTCGTCTAGATCTTGCATTTTTTATTATTGTATCCATTTATGTTTTTATCCTAATGTCCAAAGAAGCTATGGGAACTATTTTTGAATTGAGAAATTTAAAAAATGCCTGGTAAAAGTTGCAAATCACTAAATATTTTGGCAGAGACTCCAACAGCAAGAAGGGTCTATTTAACCAGAAATAAAATGAAATTATTTAGATCAAAAGTTATGAGTATGAAGAATTCCAGATCTAAATTCAACTAAGAATATATAGAAGACAAAGACATAAAGGTTTCCGTCCACGGATGCTCTTTGCCATCTGTGGAATTTGCAATATGACTGAATTTAAGCTATTTTCTAAAGAGGAATGGGTTAAAATGCCATAGATATATGTATAGCTGGCAGAGGCAAACCCCAAAACACTTACAGCTGTATTTGTGACTAAAGGTTGTTTCACATTATCAGACCTAAGGGGTACTGAAGACCAATACAATATATACTTCTCAGATTTAAATTTTTAAACTTAAAAAAAAAAATTCTCTTTACATTTTATTTCCATTTCCAATTACAGTATAAATTGCTCTGAGCTGGTACAAAAACAACAAAGTTTACTTGTAATTTGTCAAAAGGAGGAATAATTAACTGTACTTTTTTTTGTTTTTGCAAGGTACTGTTTCTTATCAGTGAGTCTATTTCTTATTTGGAAGATCATACTGTATAGAGAAGGACATGAAGACGGTTCATGAACACAGCCATAATCCTGAGACAGAGCATCGCATGAGAAACTTTTTAGTAAATCAGAATTACACAAAATATAACTTCATTAACAAATCTAAACAGCATGAACAAATTCCCACATTCTTTCTGTTATACCATATTGATACTGACCAATGGAAGGAACCATTAGAGGGCGCCTTTTGGGATGGGATTCACCATGTTGAATTCGTCTACCACTGTCCCTGTCATGGCGACCTCCACCAGGACTATTGTTCTGCAATACACAGACACAAAGCAGATTTTACAAATATCAGATACTCATGATCTGCTCACATGCAGAGCAGCAGATCATGAGTGCATATTTCAAAGTCTATCTCATCTCTTCATATATATATATATATATATATATATATATATATATATATATATATATATATATATATATCAAATTAAATAAAGGGAAAACTCAAATAACACATCCAATTTTAAAAGAGTGAAATATTCTAATTGAGTAAAATGGTAACAGGTGGATCCAACTTTGATGTAATGTCCTTAGAAGAAGGTGAAAATGAGGCTCACTATTGTGTGTGGCCTCCTGATGAGGTGGTGGATGATCTTGTGAGGTAACTTCTCCCTGGACTAAAGGATCCCCCAACTCCTGCACAGTCTGTGATACAACAGTGACGGTGGTGGATGGATCAAAATATTATGTCCCAGATGTGCTGAATCAGATTCAGGTCTGGGGAACAGGCGGGCCAGTCCATGGCTTTGATGCCATTATCTTGCAGTAACTGCTAACACAATCCAGCCACATGAAGTCCAGCATTGTCCTGCATTAGGAGAAACCCAGGGCCAACCGCACCAGCATATGGTCTCACAAGAGGTCTAAGGATCTCATCTTGGTACCTAATAGCAGTCATGCTACCTTTGCCAAGCGATGGCAGGCAGTGCGTCCCTCCAAAGAAATGCCAGCCCACACTATTACTGACCCACAGCCATAACAGTCACCCTGAAGGATGTTGCAGGCAGCAGATCGCTCTCCACAGTATTTGCAGACTCTCTCGTGTTTGTCCCATGTGCTCAGTGTCAACCTGCTTTAATCTGTGAAGAGTACAGGGCACCAGTGGCATATTTACCAGTCTTGGTATTCTCTGGCAAATGCCAAGCATCCTGCATGGTGTTGGGCTGTGAGCACAACCCCTATCTGGGGATATCGGGCCCTCATACCATCCTCATGGAGCCAGTTTCTAACCATTGGTGCAGACACATGCACCAATGGACAGAGGCATAATCCTTAGACAGAGCATGGCAAAAAAAGAAATAAAAAGCACAACAAAAAAAAGAAAATTCTAAATCATGTCACAGACTCTGTATCCCACTGATAACACCAAACCAAAAACACTGCATATTTGCACTATATAAATTAATGCTCTGAACTTCCATATGAAATGCATTTTTTGCATCATGTTTTTTCTCCCACACTGTTTACATTTGATCACTACTGCACTTTATTGAATTAAAATGTTAATTTACTGTCTGAAAAGCTGTACTCTATGAAATTTCGATTTGTATACATTCTGTGTATACAAAATGACAATGAAAGTGCTGTAAGTCTAAGTCGTTTATGGCCTACTTGAGGTCATTTTGCAGGCCTCTGGCAGTGCTCCTCCTGTTTCTCATTGCACAAAGGCAGAGGTAGTGGTCCTGTTGCTTTGTTGATGCTCTCCTATGGTCTCCTCCTCTCCTGGTGTACTGGCCTGTCTCCTGGTAGTGCCTCCAGCCTCTGGACACTATGCTGACAAACAAAGCAAACTATGCCACAGTTCACATTGACGTGCCATCCTGGATGAGATATACTTCCTAAACAACTTGTAGAGATGGTCTTATGCTGCCACAAGCGTGAAAGAACTGCCAACATTGAAAAGAGACCAAAACATCAGCCAGAAAGCATAAGTGCTGAGAAGTGGTCTGTGGTCCCCACCGGCAGAGCCATTCCTTTATTGAGTGTGTCTTCCTAATTGGCAATAATTTCCACCTGTTGTATTTACCATTTGTGAAGCAGTATGTGAAATTGATTGACAATCAGTGTTGTTTCCTAAGTGGACAATTTGATTTCACAGACGTTTGATTTAATTTAAGTTACATTGTGTTGTTTATGTGTTCCCTTTATTTTTGAGCAGTATATACTTACACAAAGAGTCAAGTCAGAAATATAAACACTGTGTAAAAAAAAAAAAAAACAAAAAAAAAAACATGCAACTGACAGGCAGGCACTGAAACAAAGACACATAGACATTTAAACATACATGAGCAAGTGAAAGATATTACAAGTAAAAATATGATAGAAAGCTGATATTGGTAACAAAGCCCTAAATTTGAATGTGAAACACATATAAGACATGATGCAAAGACATTAGTGAGCATGGTATGTGGTTCACATTGGGCCTGTTCTGAGCTGAACCAGCAAATGTTGACCATGTTTCTCCAGTGATCTTTATTGTTAGTTCAGAGATGATGAGAAAAATCATGAATGCACCTACACAGTTACCTAAAAATAATATTCCACATTTGTGGCAGAACAAGAGTCGGTAGAAATGCCTGATTGATTTATTGGAGTGACAGCGTGACATGAGTAGCCTATTACTTAAGTTAGCTTTTTAAGCAGTTAAGTGAAGGGAAATTTGAAGCACCAGCTGATTTCTGTATGATAGCAACAAAAAGCTCAGACTATTACTTTCTTCATCTTTATTAGTTAAATAGAGTTCTTCTTGAATGCATTCCTAACTGACAAACTACAGTATACCATCAATGCTCTTACACTGGCTTGATTCATAATCCCATAAGACTCTATTTTTTCATCCGCATAGGTATGAGATTTTGGTAGAATATATAATTCAGCTTAATAGGCCCTCTATCCTGCTACAACATCATCCAGATTTATTTGTCAATTTTAAATATATAATAATATAAAATAAATAACCATATGATCTAAGTATTTTGTTAGTTTTCTTTATAATATTTAATTTTAACTACTTTATTACCATACAATTCATATTTATGGTATGAATTCTCCTGGATGCTCCTCAAAATGAGAAAGACAAAGGAACATTTTATTTAAGTAAGGCCAATGTCTGATGGTCTACATATTCTATTTGACTGGAAAAAATATTTATATATTTGAAGCTTTCTCACAGATCTACTTGAAGTGCCAATAGTGCAGTTAAAGTATACTTTAGACATGGCATTACTGGAATTGTTTGTGCTATTTACCTATTGCTTCTTCTTAGAAAGCTTGCTCATCTGATTGCAAAGACAAAAAAAAAGTTCCAGCAACCTTGGAAAAAATTCCACACAGAGACTCCCAGACTGATTTGAGAAACAAATCATCTGGTACATATATGTTCTGTGGGCTTTGTCTTCATATAAACACCTTAAGCACACGCACCAACAACACAAGGTCAAATGCAACCAAGGCAGCAGTCATTTAAAGTATCTGTGCCTCTGCAGTTCACTACATTATAATGAACAAAGATGCTTAACTCTAAGAGTTACAGGAAGTGCAAAGAACTGCACCTTAGGTGTGTTGTGCGAGTTGCGTCGTCGTCCCTCTTCCAGCTGCATCTCAGAGTACAGCTCCTCCTCATCCTCCTCCATGATGTCAGACAGGTCAGAGCCCCGGCTGCTCTCGCTGTGATAATCTTCATTGTGACTATAGTGAGGCTTGTGGTGATTACAAAGACACAAACACACAGACGCAGTTGTTTAAGTCCACAGACATACCTAAGCACGCACAGACATGGGTGAAGGAGTGTCAACATGCAGCCACCCTGATGTACATGCACACACAACACACATTCTATCACATTTAAGACATTTTCCACAAAAAAAGAACCAGAACATTTGTGTTCAAAGAAGAGGAAAGAAAAGTTATTACTTAACACTGATCTTACCGGCCTCCCCAACTCAGAGCCTCTGAGAAACTCATCAACTGATGGTCCTCTCCGACGTCCTCGGGCAAATCCCTCCTCATCTTCCTCTTCCTCATCAGAGGGATGCTGGTGAAACGAATGACCCTGCTCTCCATATCTCCCCATCCTTCTGTCTCCCTTAAAGTGCATAAGAACATTTTGGAAAAATTGCCTAAACTGAACTTTTCAAGCTTGTCCATCACCTGGATCACTGAGAATTTTTTTTACAGATATACGCTTTGGAATATTAACAATCTTTTACCATTGCATCTGGCATTTTCTTCCAGATTGAAGTTCAATTTGATAGAGAAAAAATTAGGTAAAAACGTAGCTCTTTCCATACCTTGCCACTTTCTGCTGCCACCCTCTGTGCTGCTTCTCGGGCAATGGCTTTGGCCACGGTATCCGGGATAAGCGTGCCTTGGGGCTGAGGAAGAATCCTCTGTGGGGAGGGGGAGCGCAAATGAACAGGGGGAGGGGCCTCAAGAGTGTGGCCTTGCATGGGCACAGGATGTTGCAAAATAGATCGAGTCTGGTCCCAGCCAGGCTGACCGGGTGGAATAGCTCCTCCATGATGAGCTGTGTGCTCTTTGGCATCCAGGTCTCTGGCACTTACTGGTCTCTGAGGTATAGGGTGGGGCTGAGGGTGGGGAAGCAGAGGCAGTTGGTGCTGGGGCCTGTGACCCTGGTGGAGAGGGTGAGGCTGCATGTGTACCGGCTGTGGTTGGGGATGTGGAGATCCACCTGGATGGGGAAGTCTGGGATGGGCTTGTGGATGTGGAGGATGAGGTGGAAGTGGTTGCCCATGGGGTGGAGCAGGAAGTTGGGGTGTAGGGTGAGGAAGGTGAGGAGATAGGACGTGAGGTTGAGGATGTGGAAGTGGAGGAGGGCCTCCGTGTGGGTGCATGGGGGGTGGTAGGGGAAGGGGAGGTAGAGGCACAAGCAGGTTGTTTGGAATGACAGCGACTTGGGAGTCCTGGGATTCTCCCTGGACTGACAGTGTTCTAACAATGACTTCTCTGGCTTCCAGGCATTGAATCCTTGTCAGATCAATGGTAACATAGTCTGCCATTGGAAACAGCACCTCAGCAATCTGGATTGAAGAAAAAAAAATAATTATTCTCTAAGAAATCCCAGTAATATTCCTTTATGGCTTTATTAATATCTTACAAGAAAGACTAGTCTTTTTCACTAAAATTGATAGCATTCATTATGTTGCACCATAAGTTCTTCTTATACCCTATTCAACTATAATAACATTGTTGTAATTGGATGTTTTTTTTTTTCATTTTCAGCTGCAAAAAAGACAAACCAACATCCATGTTTGCAACTGCATTTTGTATAGTAGCCATTGATGCAACAGCTGGAAAAATGATTTAATCTAAACACCAAAACTTAATAAAAATAAAACCTATATTTTAGAGCATTTAAAAGCAGTTTTTAATCTTCAATTTATCTTTTAATATATGCTGTACGGATTGACCCTTTTTGCTTTAGTGCTTTAATTCACTTTAGCTGTCACCAGAGGGGGTTAGAGACCTTTCCAACACATTAACATGTGCCAGAAAGTGAGTCATGGTTTGAACAGCAATCAAAGGCAGGATGCATTGCTGATTACACAAAATATATTTAGGAAACATCAAAGCTAAATAGAGGACATGGTCTAAATTAATATTACCTTGACATGCATACTTACCCTTTGTCCTTTAGTGCAGACTGCATAGCCAACAACATTTGCCCCATTAGATGTGCCAGTCGGAGAGAGGATGGGAGGCTTCCAGCGGACCTGCAGAACCCCTGGAGCCTGCCCACAGAGCACCTGAACATCCTGTGGAGGCTGTGGGGGACCTGAAAGGTAAGGAAGCAGGGGTAACCAAATGGTTTACTGATCTGCAACAGTATGAAAACAAGAAGGTAAGATGGGAAGCATTCCTTAAAGGCATAAACAAGTGTACATACAACCATGCAAAAGAATGTATGACCATAAACAAGAAAGTGACAGAAGTGCAGGGATTATTTTACTTGACTATTCAGTTTTAGTTAATTTCGTAATTAACTGTAAAAGAAAATTTTGCTACGCATACATTCCAAAGCACTTAAATACTGATATGAATTCTATCGTGTACTGTTCAACTGCTCTCTAATCGGTAATGTGCTCTGTTTGGGAAACATGGGCAAAATTGCAAAGAAATTTGAATGCATACAGAAAAATGTTTTCATATTTAAGAAAAATCATTCAAACCAATCTCTGTTTTTCAATGCAAAATTCCTCTAGAACCATAAATGAATGCAACATTATTCGCATGCCTTGAGTGAATGTGTGGTAATAATCCTTCTTGCAAAATTACTTAAAATTATTATGACAAATTTTCTGATTGGCTTATGTGTAACAGTTTGGGGGAAACATTGAAAAACCAGCCAAGCACTTATGCTCAATCTCTGACCTGTTCTGCAAAATAGTGTTGGGCCTGGATGGAATACAATACACAAAAAATAGCATAAGTTCAAAATATGGGCCATACTCCTTTATGGCACAGATTAAAAGATCATGTGATGATGTCATTTAAAGTTCACAAATAATCTTATAAACAGTAGTAACCAGGTTGTAAACAAGATGTCAGCAGTATGCTTGCGAAAGCCTTTTGTTTTTGTTTGTTTTATTTTGTTTTGTTTTTAAAAAGGCTTGTTCTTAATTATTCCTTATCATACATTGCCTTCAGGTCCACTCACATCCACTAATTGTTCAGTATATTTCTCTGCAATGTGATACAACAACAGAAAGTGACACATAATTATTAAATGGAGGGAAATTAATATGCATATTTCATCTACACTTACAAAATACATAATTTCACAGCATGATACCAAAGCTTTATTTTTAAAATGCGTATAAAAATTATGGATTTCCTTAATTTGATTTCATAAATGTAAACCACTTTATGTTGCTGTATTAAAAAAGGTCACAAGAAATTATGTTCCATTTGTAGCTTAGTGCAACAAAATGTTAACAAGTTCAAGTGGCATCAGTATTTTTCAAGGTACTTTAGATATTTTATTACTGCATTAAAACATTCCACAAAAATATTACTGACCTGCTGCTTGTGTGCAAAACTCCACCCCAGCTTCTTTCCTCTCTCTCTGCTCCAAAGGCAGTTGCCATGGCACCTGGTGGGGCTGTGCCACTACTGTGACCTTATACACCGTTAGAGGCTTTAGGTTGTGGAATCTTAATCTATACCTTCCGGGCTTTACTACAGCATGCTCCGCCCCATCTAAGTACACAGTGTGACTGTAGTTGCTGTTGCTAGGCAGCCAGGAGAGCTCGGCAGTGTCCCGCTGGATGTCATCTACCCGCATTCCGCATGGTGCCACCACCACGTTGGCTCCCACCAGAACAGTGCAGCGTAGCTCGTCCGACAAGCCACGGTCAGTGACACTCTGTACAGAGACACGATAAATGCAGCTGTCCAAGTCCAGCTTTTCTAGCAAGCACTTGGTCCGGCCGGTGTATGGTATACTGGCACGAAGTTCCCCATCAACTAACACATTGTAGCCAGAGATGTTCCCCCAGCCCAAAGGCACTGCTGGAGGCTCCCATGCCACAATAACACTCCGTGCCAGCTGCTTGATGAGGGTTATCTTACGGGGGTAAGGCACAACATCTTCAGCTAGGTCCTCAGGATCCAGCCCTCCCCCTGTCCCATTGCTACATGGAACCAGAGAATTGCTTGAGCCCAGCAGGACATCTTGGGAGGTACCTCCATCCACGGTCATCAAGGCCATGGATGTTCGCTCCAGAGGGCCTACGTCTTCCCCTCCTTCCATAATAATTTTTTCTTTATCCTGGACAAATTCTACAAAGTTGGAAGGAACAAGTCCTCTTTGGCCATCCAGCAGCTCCCCTGTGATACAGGAAGGAGACAAATGTTTAAAAGATAACGACCTACTGTTAAACCACAATTATTCATATTTCCTATAGATTAGAATGAACATTTGCTTTTATTTCAGGAAAAGAAATCTTGTTTTTGGTAGTAGCTAAGAGACATTATTTGCAACATAATAAAAAAGAAGTGTTCATCTAGAAGAAAAAAACATAATTATAAGGCATATTTACTCGCATTACCACAATCTAACCCTTCCTCTTTAAATGCTGATCACCCATTTTAATAATTCCTCTGGTTTTTAATTGGATAAAGCATTAATGCATGTCGAGTATAACAAGGCAAAATCCTCATGTTAAAATTATTAAGGTCGATGATCAAAATTAAAGCTGTTTAGATGACTGAAAGGCAGAGAAGAGCAGATAAATATCTATTAATCTACAAAGATGTTCTCAATCCCCAATCAAGACTCTTAATTGGCGTTTTAATTCAGGAAATACAAAAATATATCGGCTTTTTTACATCAGTTTTAGCTTAACCTTTTAATGTTTTTTAAGAGGAGCCAAGAGTACATAGAAGAGTTATTCCTTAAGGAAAATATGGGCATCTTTTTTTTTTTTTCTTTTTTTTTTTACCACTATGAGTTTAAATAAGTAAAGGGAATCTTGCTCCTTCAATTCTTTTTTCCTCACGAGCGCCTGGGAATCTTTAAGACTATTTGCATCTATCTGCTCATGGATGCATAAACAGAGTGTGATGCATGTGGCAGAGTGTGCTTTGCTTGTATGTTCCGATGATTAAGCCCAGCCCCAATGGATTAGTCATCATACTAAAAGGGGCAAGAGTCCCATGTCGTCAACAACTTGGTCTGAGGCCTAAGTCTCCCTCCTGTGTTTTAAACACAGAGCTCCTCCACAATGCCGCACGATCTGACCGCCCACGGCTAATGAATCACTGCAGATGAGTCCCAGAGCGACTACGACAAGTGTACGACTGCTGCACGATTGGAGGCAAGGGAGATTAGGACTGTGTCTGATGGAGATGCTTTCATAATTCTAAAGAGATTAGGAAAAGAGTCACTCCAATCAGCAGTTGTGAGAAAGTATGCAGAAAGTTGTTTGAGGTGACATCCAGCGCTGACAAAGCAGAGGTCACAGAATCAACACAGCTGGGGGCCAAATGATGGACGTTTATAATATGTGGGTGACAAGTCATGCAAACTGCCATGTAGCAGCAAGAGACATCTTTGTACCAGTGTTTACAGAAACAACTTAATCAGCACTGCAGCTCATTTATATTAAGGTCGGACAGTGCTGGATTGTCCTCCCAATGCCATGTACAACAGAGTCATTAACAGTAATTAAAAGGAAGGGAATGTACAAGATAAATCCAAATGTAAAAATATGATATATTTACAGGCATACAGAGGTCTGTGTAGTAGTATTGATCTCTTTGCCATTATAGTTCTTCCAAAAAAGCAGTGTCTTTGCTTTATTTTTTTCTATTTTTTCTGGATTTCTTAAGGTTTTTGAATAATTTTCCTTGTGTTTTGTTTTATTTATTCCATCTACACTCTTTCAATATTTAGAAAATGAGACACACTGAATGACACATCGGCTAGTCAGACATGCCAACAATAAAGTAGGAAAGGTCTTATCTGGAAGCCTCCCACATAAAAAATGAAATTTGATAAACAGTTAAACTCTGACACTGCTGTTAACTAATTATGCAAAAAATAAAAAATAAAAAATAGTTATCTGGGGGAATATTCTAAAACCTTATTTATGTCCAGTTTAATTACCTACACCAAGGAGGTTTTTAGGAGAGTTCGTGTGTGGGTGTGTGTGTGTGTTTCTCTGTCCGTCTGAGTACAGGATAACTTAAAAATTTATTAATAGGTTTTAATGAAATTTTTACCAAGGTGCGCCTCAGTCCAAAGAACAATACATTACATTTTGGTAATGATCCAGATCACCATCTTGATCCAGGATTTTTGTTTTTGAAAGATTTTTTGAATACAGGTAATAATTTAAGGTGGAAGTCACAATATGTTGGGGGAAATTAGCTACTTGGGATCTGCTCTTTCCAGCCAAAGCACTTACAAAGAAGACAGAAGACAACATAGTCCATGATCTAGAGGAGCCATCACATAGGCTGGATCTGAATCCCATAGACATTTGTGAACATAGTAGAAGAGCTGTGTGTGAGCAATGTCATCAGCAAGTGTGGCTCAAACTGGTTCTGTATGACGGAATGGACTCTGAGAAGCTTGTAAATGGATTCCCTAAAACATTTGACCAAAGTAATACAGCTTAACGAGCAGTTGCATAAATGAATAAACACATTTATACAAACTTCAAAAAATTTTAAATGTTGGACATAATAGTTTTGGTAATAAACTATTATTACAATAATGATAATAATATTATTATTACTATTGTTATTATTATTGTCATTATTATAAATGTCAGATAGTGACAAAAAATTATGTCTTTTTATATTATTTATGCAAATATTTATTTTAATGTTACATTTGCAAACATCAAAGACAGCTTATCAGTATATTTTTTCCCCTGACCTTCATAAAAGCCATCATCATCCATGTCTCCATACACATATAGATATTTTCCAGCCACAAGAGGGAGCTCTGCCTCAGGATGTTCATTCGGTCCATCATAAGGGTTATAACTTGTAAGAGAAAAGATGAAAGTGTTAAATTCAATGTGTGAAGTTACAGGGCTGAACACATGAGAACCAACACGAGAATTTTGATGTTTGTCTCGTTCACCTGTAGCGGGCAGTGCAAAGGCGGACCTGGCCTGTGTAGCGAGGTTTTGACCTTGGTGACGAACTTGTCTCATCCTCCATCTATTGATCAATTAAAATTACAAGTCATTACACACAGGAAGAAACTAAGATGCAAGTAGACTTATTTCCAAAACTCAAAAGGATCAATAGGAGGCTTATTTTGTATGTAATGTCACTTACTCTCACCTCAGATGGAGGATTCTTTTGGGGGCTGTTGGAGCGGTCCGTTGTTACGGTGCTGGATTTGATAGACAGCAGTTTGAATGTTTCCCTGTCTTCAGTCTGCAGAGGGCAGGGCTAAAACTGAGGGATCAGAAGCTGAGCTTTTGGTGAACTCTCATCACCTAGGAGACATTGATTTAAAAAGCAAATGAAGAGAGACTGTCATTCCTCATGCACCCCATTAGCTGTTCATTGCACACCTATTGATTCCCTCGTTAAGCAATCATACAGTTAACACATTTCATGCCAAAAGGCTTTTTAGCCTTTGTCAGTAATTCCCATTTGCAGCCCATATGTGTTTTTAAATATCACTTAGGGAAATACAGCTTTGTTTACACAGAGATAAAGAGAACGCGGAGCTTTATTCTTGAGGGAAATCATATTCAAAGAACAATAATTCACTGCTATACACTGGCTGTTTTGTATTTTTTAAAAAGCCCCACAGATGGGTAAGTCAGGGCTACCTTTTCAGAATCCGTGATTAAATGTATAAATAAGCATATTAAGGTAAGTAACTGCAGGAAAATTGTAGCTTTGTTTTTCCAAAAGTACAAAAGTAGTTAAACAACCTAATTTCAGTCTGTTTAGAAATAATATAAAAATGTTCTTGATAAATAGTTTCTTATAATCATGGATAATTATTTGATGTCTGTCAATGAAATGTCTGAGTTTTCACTCCTATACAGTGAAATCAACACAGAATACACACACAGAAAAAGTACTAAAACTACATTCACTTTCTCAAACCTTCTTTTTTGCAGCTGGGACTAAGAATCTGTGAGCTTATGTGGCTCATGTAAGGTGAAATTATTATTTCTGAATACTAATAACCTATGTTAAAACATGCTCAAAATAATTCAAACATAAAATAGCTGTACGCCGGCGGGAGTGCCCTTTCTCAATTCACCAGAACGCGAATATGGACTCGTGTCCTCGCCAAGTATGTTCTTGAGAAGAACACAGAAAAGTATGGACTTGGGGAGAACGGGAGCATGCAGCATGAATATGGGTCAATTGGAACAGAACCGTACTCGTGACATCTAGAGCTGTATTTCACCTCCTATTATTAATAGTCTCTAGATAATAATAAATTATTACTTTTTTCATTTAGCTGGGGAATAATAATTAACACAGTCGGATAAACACAAATCAAATGAACATTTTGCCAAATAAAACAAGAAAAATCGTCATCAGAGCCAGCGATCCTTCACACACACGGCAATGCCGAGAGAGGGCTGCTGCAGACGGGCTGCGGTTAGCCCTGGCTGCCATTAGCCTTGGAGGTCTGCTGGTTTCTGCCATTCTCTCAACTTCGGACATTTTTTTAATTACGTATTAAATCGATAAATGGACCATATAGTGACACTTTAAAGTATTATATTCTCACCTCAAATGATCTGAAAATGTACTTTTATTGAACAACAGCAACTTTTAATGGAACGCTCCATTGAAAGCTGCTGCTGTAGCATTGCATTGTGGGACAGCTGTCCATCTCAAGAATGGAGAAGTCTGCTCTGATTCATACTCTGTAAAGAAGGAGGGGCGAGAACAACATCCAGGGACTTTGTCTGTTCTTGGTCTGCTGTTCTTGCGAATTGGAACAGTACTAGGGCTGAGGTTGATGACGTTTCACAAGCACACAAACACATGAGAACGCACAAGTACACATATTGAGAAACGGCCTTTATCTTCCAAAACAGCAATGGTGCGTCTCAAGATATCACGGTCACGGAGATGGATCTAGAGTAGTTATACATCGAAGAGGAACAGGTCCTGTTAATGGAGTTGTCAAAAAGACAAAGGAGGACGCGTAGGTTGTCTGTGGTAGTTTTTTCTCGGTTTTTAAAAATGACGCACCGAATCGAGAAGGACGACCACAAAGACAGCCGGAAAGGCATACCAAGGACCAATCAAAGCTGCTTTTGGTCTGCGCCTTTGTGCTTAAGGTCTGTGAACATCCGATGTGTAGTCAGGATTTTTTTGAGGTGTGCCAGGACAGTTGTAGAACCTCTGCATGGGGGGCGTGGTCTGACAGATTTGACGGTTGCAGAGGCGTCAGAAGCATAAATTGGCCTTAACAGTGCATAAAAACTGGATAAAGAGGAGGCTCTTTTGAAATCATATTATTCGTACTGTTACAGTATATTACAGTAGATAAACAAATATAACATTGAATTACTTCTTATAAAATGGATCAAGAGTTCTGTGTTAAGTATAAAAGTTGTTATTTCAGTGACATGTTTCTATGTAATTAAAATCCTGTGTGGGTGAACGCTCGATTTGATTGGCTGCAGGGTGTCCATTAAAAAGTGTTATTAGACACCTGTAAAAAGGTTCAAATTACCTGATTGTTTCTCATTATTGTGCTGGTTCACTATGAAATTAGATGTTTTGAATGACAGGTTCTGTTGCCAGAGCTGGTTAACTTTGTAATGTGTCACAACAACAGATATCATATAGTCCACTCAGGATTTAAGGATTTTCACAGTTTAAACAAAAATTTACATATAGAAAATGTAATATTTATTTTTACCGCAAGTGATCATGGAAGAAGGATTTATCCCTTCAAGGTGTCTTTTTATCAGAAATGAACAGACTTTACCGAAGTAGCCATCCTCCAATTGATTTACATTTATTTCTAATCATAGACACCTTATTGGGCATTATCCAACACTTGCTTCGTTCCAGTATGTTTAGAAAATTTTGATCATTGAAAAGAATCTTACATTATGAAGTTATACCTGCATAAAAGATTTGAACACCCATACCTCCATATTGTTTTAAATTATACATATATGTGTTTATCCCTGTTAGGGTCGCAAGAGGTCTCCATCTGTCTACGGTCGAGAGGCAGGGTACACCTTGGACACCTCACCAGTCCATTGCAGGGCAACACAAAGACAAACAGCCATTCAAGCACACACTCACAAGAATTTAGAGAAGACAATTAACTGAACAGTCATGTTTTTGGACTGAAGGAGGAAGCCGAAGATCCTGTGCATGCACAGGGAGAACATGCACACTCCTTGCAGAAAGACCCCAGGTGGGTATTGAACCCAGAACCTTTGTGCTGTAAGGCAGCATTGCTACCCACTACCCCACTGTGTAGCCCTAAGTTGCAATCATAGACAAACCTTTTTCCAAATGGGATTCAAATTCAGCAATGAGCTGGGTAAGTTTTTCCTCTGGTGAAGGTGGGATTTGGGACACCAAGGTGGAATAACTCCACAGGCTCTGGCTGCAAGCAGATGTTTGGCAGCTGGTGGAAGTGTTCACTGTGTGACCTTCATTTCTGCTCCAGGTCATAAAGTTTGACCTTTGACAGAGAAAACAGAGGGGTGCTCAACAAAAGGAGGGAATGAGAAACATAATGATTCATCACATTTAATCATACGGTCACTGGTCCTCTAGACAAGTCCTGTTTTATCTATACCTGGTGACTGAGCATTGAGTCATGAATATCGGGTAATGAGAACCATTTTTATACGTCATGAAGAACCTAAAACCAGTAAACATGAAATTATGTACAATGTTTTTCTTTTGTCCTTTATTTCAAATCAGAGTGCTTTTTTAACTTTTGCTGTTTATTGGGGTATTTCCCAACATTTAAAGGGATATTTGGTTTTCATACCAAGCAGATGAAATACTGCATGCTGGTTCACGATGTTAAAGAGACTGGCTCTAGAAATATGTAGACCATGATTTACTCCCTCACTGCAGAGTTTTAATTTCTCTCACCAAACTCTAATTCCCAGCCCAGTAAAATCATATTAAAGTGCTTTTGATGACTAATAACATGACCTCACTTGAACTGCGTTCATAAAAGTCTGAGACCCATTATCACAGCAGGATTTAGAGTAAAAAGAGAAAATTATTTTCTGTAAATGAGGGAGTGACATCTATTAAAGGAGTTTAATGAGATACACAGTAAATCAGCTGATGGATCAGTGAAAAACAGCCAACGGAGGTACAACAATATGACGATATGTTACTGTGCTTTCAAATACTATATTAAAAAAATAATTATTGCATTTCACCAGCACAATAAAATACAATTTCTAGATGAATTTTAAGTTTTACTGCTTCTTGCCATTACTCCTATTGTCATAATTTAGCCCATTCTAGACTTTTTGACTCTTATTTTAATTCTCAGTTATGCATTATTTCATTATTTTGTTTGTCAAGATTTATGTAATTTTTGAATTGATAGTTTTCTTCTCCCTTTTTATTTTTTCCAGGATATTTTTTCACCATTTTTGGTATTTATTCCTTGGTCTAGTTTTAGTTATTGTTATTAATTTTATATGCCTTTAGCTTCATTTAAGTTATTTTCTAGTTACAGTTAGATCCTGTTTTTTTCCCTGGTTAGTCTTTGTGCCCCTATTGTCCCTTTTCTTTCCCCTTAGCTCCTTTCTAGTTCCTTCTGTCCACACCTGCTCCCAATCAGCTGATTAGCCCATTCATTGTTCTGTCTCCCATATATACACCACCTGTGCAGTTCCTCCTGGCTGGATTCTCTTCATTCTTATGTTCGTTTCTCCTGAGCATCTCATAGTTTTGATTCCTGAGTTCTTTTCTGATATTTTGTAGAAAAATGCTTTTGTACCATCTACCTCTTCATTAAATTAGCAAGAAACCAACTCACCCTTTCCTCTCTTCATTTGAGTCCCCTACAAAACTCCTTGCCAATCGTTAAACCTATGCTTTTACCAAAGATGTTATTTGATTATTTGTTTAATTGAATGATAAAAAAAAAATCAAATTTTTATGGGCTTTACAAAAAAGTTTTAGAATAGAATAAAATGTTTACTTATCTTGCTTTGGTCATGTTTCTGTTACAGGAGTCGAATTAAACTTCTTGTAAATACATTAAAAACTCAAAGGATTTTTTTTTTTATTAGGTTTTGTTCTCAGATTCACATTGAGTGTTTTCATCTTGGCTTTATAGCTGCAGTGAAACTGGAACAATTTTTTTTTTTTTTTTTTTTTACGGCTAAGAATAACATAGAGCCTTTATTTTTATTGTCAACTGTCATTCTAGAGCACTAAAAGCCCCCTGTCTCTGCTGTCAGCAGTTTATTGTGTTTGGTTGATAACTAAGAATGCTTTTGTTAAACTTTGCTTTCAGCATGGTTACCATGGCAGTGTTGGTCAGTGAAATATTTTTTGCCTGATTACAGCAACAAGATACATTTGCATGAATTAGTCCATGGATATTCATGAGACCCACAGGATGAAGCTGGAAAGATTCTGCTGATTTCCTAAATTTATTGTAGCACCATCAGCAGAATTTTTTTTAAGCTCCTTAAAATAAAATCCACCATTGTGCATAATAAGAGTTTATGGGAAAAGAAAAATGGAGGCAGTGAATTTTAACATCAAAGTTATCTTTAAAGGAAGGTAAAAAAAAAAATAAAAGTTAATTCAATTCACACTTAATTAGTTTTAATTTTGTGACTACTGGTTTCCTTAGTGTTTCTATGTTGCTCCACAATCAAGTACAAAAAAGGAAGTGAAAAATTTATAAAACATAATTAAATATCTACCTCTAGTCACAGTGCTGCATCCTCATGCTGTTGGTCAGTTTGATCGCAGGCCTGCAGAGAACACACAGAAACACATAGTGACAGCTGACACTGTGATCACAGTCTGTAAGGTGGACTAGACATCACACAGCTGACATACTGTCTACACAGTATTGTGGATGAGCCTGGAAGAGGCTCACTGGTTCAGCAGAGCTTTGGTAGTTGAGTAACTGGGACAGCTCCAGTAAAAGGTAACTGATCTATTCTTAGGTATGTTAGCATCAGGTAATTATTATAAAAGGGGCTTTAAGTCTTTTAATGTTAACGAAAGCACTCAGTGGGATTAAACAAATCACTTGGAATAATTTAGAACCTATCCTTTATCTACCTTTAGCAAATGTGAAAATTCAACTTAACTTGAGGACAAGAAAAATCTATAATTGACCTTTATTGGCATCCTGGTAAAGAGAAGACATTCTGCTAATTAGGCAGGAATTAACCAGCTACTTAATGTTGCATATTAATTCCCTATTAATATGTGTACAATTATGTAAATGATGAAATCATCACATATCTTAACTTGTTTGAACGAATGGACAGAAAGATAGATGGATAGATTAAGATTCAGCTGACTTAAAAAGGTTATAACAGGGTAAGTGCTCACACACTTGATTAGCAACTTAATTTTTCAATAATTTTAGATGTGAAGTTAATATTAGATATAGGTCTATATTAAGGGGGAAGCAATTCATAGGATTAATCACGATTAATCAATTATTGAAATAATCGTCAACTAATGTAGTAATCGATTAATCGTTAACTGGAGTATAGAGACTCTAAAGCGTGACAAAGCAACACACTTAGAGCAGTAATTATATCAAAATTGTATAAATCAATATAAAGATTTTGCATTTGAGATTTTAAAAAATGTTATCTGTCAATATGCTCTAACCAGAACTCCTTCAGTGGAAAAGTTTTAGTATCATATGGTTTCATTTCATAGAAAAAAATCTTCTTTAAGGAACCGTTGGCTATACACTTATTAATCGATTCATCGAAAAAATAATCAACAGATTAATTGATTGACAAAATTATTGTTTGTTGCAGCCCTATTCTGTACACATTGTGTCTCATCTTGGTCAAGCAAGAAAAAGTAATTAGATTTAATGCTTAAATGAAGCAATATTAAAAATTTAAATATTATCTAAATTGTGGTCATAATCTAAAGAAAAATAAACTACGATAGTTTTGTCAGAATTTTGGTTTAATATACAAGTTAAAGGTTTACCTAAAACAATATGTTTGAAAATTTGAAAGTTAAAATTATTATAAAACTTGAATACTGTGTTCGGTATCAGTGAGTAAATACTTTTTGAAATGAAAGCCCCCTAAGCTTAGGTCACATGCATCAGTCATGTTTAAAAAATAAAACTAGGCAGCATATTATGTTGAAAAATAATTTAAGAATAATGATTTATTTATTTGATTTAATAATAATCCATTCACTTCCAAACTACAAAAATTAAAATACTACAGACCAAATACTATCCAGAGGGAGTGTATATTTCATGTTTATCACAAAATCTAACTCACCAATGCTAAACTTGTATTTGTGATCAATCTAGAAGTTGGACAGACCTTTGAGATCCTTTTATTTTCTGGTGCAATCGACCGTATGGCAGTAAATCAGCAAAAACTGGGCTACTAACACATCAGTAACTGAACAAGAGACCTTGGCATTAAGTCCCTGCACAAAATCTATATTAGAAAAAAAAAAGTTTTCAGTGATTAATTCTCTGCTTTGTTCCTATCCAGGGCCATACCTTTTGTAGCTGATTGACCACCTTCTATTTGTTGTGAACAGCCACCAATGCTTGGTCATACTCTGTCTGCAACTGTTGTTTCAGCTGTACGGCTTCATGCACAGGCTGAGGAGAGACAGAGAGAGGAGGAATGCTATTTAGAGACATTTTTTGACAGCATGTCCAAAGATTTGCCAAGCAGGGGTCTTTCTTCACTGGAAGTGGCAGAAAACTTGTAATTAAAAGCCTCAGTGGTTATCAGGAAAAGGGTAGCTACATCACAGGCTCAGTACAGCAGGTGTATTAATCTGTTTATTAGCTGAAAATAAGATATTTTCAAATTAATTGCACTATAAGCGATTTCAACAAATCCTGCTTTTTGATTATGATTAACCGTGCACTCATAGGTGTGTCCACACTTAGGTCAAGAGCAGAGAGCTTCATGGAATGGGTTTCAATGGTTGAGCAGATGCATCAGAGCCATATATGACCAACTGCAATCAAAAGTGTCAGATGCAGTGATGTAAAGCGCAAACCCACTGGACTCCAGAGTAGAGAAAGTATGTTATCTGAAGTGATGAGTCACACTTCATTTGGAAATCTGATGGACCAGTCTGGGTTTGGTAGTTGCCAGCAGAACTGTGCTTGTCTGACTGTGCCAAGTGTAAAGTTTGTTGGAGGGGAGGTTGTGATGTACAGTAGGGGCCTGGCCCCTTAGTGCCAGTGAAAGAAACAGTGAATGCTTCAAAGACATTTTGGACCATTCCATGCTTCCAACTTTTTTTGGAACAGTTTGGAGCTGCCCCCTCCTCTTCCAACATAACTGTGCACCAGAGCACAAAGCAAGGTCCATAAAGACATGGATGGCAGAGTCTGGTGTGGATAAACTTTATTGACCTGCACAGAGTCTTGATCTAAACCAGATAGAAAACCTTTGGCATGAATTAGAGAGCAAACTGAGAGCCAGGATTTCTTGTCCATGTGACCTCACTTTATCCATGATGCTATCTGTGTTTTTCTATAACCAAATTGTGCTAAACAGGACAGATTATCATTACAATTGTGAGTTTCCACCTGTTTTTATGCGGCTCTCATGACATGTCATTATAGATATTTATAGAATTGATGAGCCAGATTGGAAAAGGAGAAAGTACAGATATGTTGTGTTCAAATGTAGTCAGTTAAAATAAAAAGTCCTGAGAAAATGGATACTTAAATTAAGTACAAATACAGAAAAAAGCTACTTAAGTACAGTAACTTAGATTTATACTTTTTGTGCAAAATTAGTTTAAGATTCCTAACACTGATATTTTAATAGTATACTTTAACTTGTGAATAAAAAAAGTGCTTAATTTAATGATTTTCTTCACGTCACGTCTATGATGTAACTGCTAAAAAATCTTTTAGTTATCAGATAAAACAACATAAAAAAGCCATGCATCTTTGGTAAAAAAAAAAAAAAGTGAGAAATTCTTTAAAGGAAAAGTCAAGTAAGCTTTATCTCCCTTTTTCATGTTGTTTTTCCCGATCCGTGTTTTTTCCTCCCACACCGCCCAGTCTAATTTTCTCTAAATAGTCTCTTTGTGTCCATAATCAATGCTAAACCAGAACGTGACAAAACTTTCATTGCTGTATCACAGAGTAGGTCAGCTTTTCTCATATGGGCACATCTCTCGAATATCCTGACAAACAGACAATCGATGGGAGATGTAGGGAGACAAGGATTTGTAATGACAGAGCTTCGCGCAGAGAGGCAAGACTGTTTGATTGCTACTGGAAGATAGAAACACACTGAAAGAAGCCTCTTCTTAAAGAGAGGTGTCATTTTTGAGGCTTCTTCAAATTCAGAGGATTACTGAGCCTTTGTACAATTAGTGTTATTTGGGAAAGCCCAGGTTATGACATTATGGCTTTATGTGATTCACAATATTTAAGATAACTGGAGGCCCATCTCACGTTTGGAGCAACCCCTAAAACAAAATGCTTTCTTTTGCAAGATCATTATCATTCAATCATAAAGCATAACACAAACACCATACAAAATAGAGGGAGGAAAAGACCTTCTCACAATGTACTAAATGGCAGATTTCACAGATGTGTTTAATTTAAACACTATGGGATGAAGGGGGAGCTGGTTCCACAATTTAGAAGTTGCAACTAAAAAGGCCCAATCCCCTCTTCGGAGGCACATGGACCATGGGACGACTAATTACCAATGGACATTAGATCTATGCGATCTAGAGAGTGCATAAGGCTGGAAAAGATCAGAGAAATATGCATGTGCATTTAAATTTAGGGCTTTAAAGGTGAACAACAAAACTATAAAATCAATTCAGAAACAAACAAAGAGCCAACTATATGCAAGAATAAACCTCATGGGAAGTCTGTACTGGAATACAGAGAATTTTGTGAATCTCTGAGAGCAAAACACTTTGGTGCATGATTTACATATGAACCCCAGATTAAAAGAAACAATCCACTGGACTTTGTTTCCAAGTTTGAAGACGTTTCGCTTCCGATCTAGGAAGATTTTTCATTTCAAAATGTCAGAAATGAGTTGAGTTGAGTTGAGTTGAGTTGAGTTGAGTTGAGTTCAAGGCTTTATAGAATGGACCAACAATAAAGCCTTGTTTGGCTTAGAAAATATGCAAATTAAACCGGACGAACTGGTCCGCCCCTTTGGAATGCGGGTAGTTTGGTTTCTTTGTTAGCTTGGAATAGCCAATACCTGTCTATGTCTCTGAAAGGGGGTCGTTAAAGGGAATTGTTGGCTGGATAAACAGGCGAGGTGTTTTGTTCCCCTGTAAGGGGGTGGGGGTTGTGATGATAGTAGGAAGGCATCAACTCAGTTGCTGAATTGCAGGTTTTTGAAAGCTGAAATCTGAGTCCACCCCCTCTATTTAAGGTTGTTTTCTTTTTCTTAACATAGAAGGCTTCCTTCACGCCCCTCTCAAACCACCTGTCTTCTTTGTCCAAAATGTGAACATTCTGGTCTTCAAAAGAATATCCTTTGTCCATAAGATGTAGCTGTACCGCCGGGTCTGGTCCCAAGGAGGTCCCTCTTCTGTGTTGAATCATGCATCTGTGGCGAGGTTGTTTGGTTTCTTCAATATAAAGATCAGAGCATTCCTCACTGGATTGAACTACACACAGCACTCCGCTCATATTTGCTCTGGGGGGGATGCACTAGTCTCTGTTTAAGGGTGTTGTTAGGTTTGAAATGTACTGGGATTTTGTGTTTGGAGAAAATCCTCTTCAGTTTTTCAGAGACTCCAACAACATATGGGATGGCGTTGTTTTTGCATTTAATCTTCTCTCTGTTATGATCTGCTGCGTGTCTTTTGGGTTTCCTTGCTGATTTGACAAACGCCCAGTTTGGGTATCCACAGGTTTGAAGAGTATACAAATTTCAGGATGTGTGTACAAAGCAGAAAATATTCATGTCACATTCATTCACTTAATGTACAACTTTGTTGATAAACGACATAATATAATCAAAGACTCTAAAGGAGGATCGTTTCACATTAAGCTATTTGATTGTATACACTCTTGGAACACTTTTTGGTTCCATGTGTTTTCAATATTTCTTTATCTGACAAAGCTTGGCAATTGGCAGAGTGATATGGCATATCTTACCTTTAAAACATATTCCAGATTTTTGACCTTGATCTGGGGTTAGCTCCTTTTTGGCTGGACCACGCCTCTCTCCTGGCTCACTGTGGCAAACCTTTTTCTCAACTGGACATAGCCGCATCGCACCTGCAGGAAAATGAATCACAAATGGCTCCGTGACATTAGATAGAAGAGGGTGAGGCATGATTAAGCAAGGTTAAGTGGATATTTCAACTACATGGAAATAATAGAAGCTGAGAATTGTGAAATGTGGGCATCGGATGTTGTTTTCTTCTTTTTTTAATGTAAAAAAAAAGGATGCAAGTTGTCTGAATGTCACTTGTGTTGCACACCTACTTTTACAGTGTAAAATGAAGTACATGTTTTCTCTGGCTAACTTGTCGCTTGACTTTTAAATCTGAAGATAAATTCATCATATTTCCATTTATCCTTGATGACTTTCAGCTGCTGACATGGGCACCCCACTTCTCGCTTTGATTTCAGCCTTGAGCTGGATCTTCTAAAGGTGGCCTTACAAGATGGAGCTGAGCCCCCCATTAGCAATGCACCCTTCGTCTTCTCATTAATTACCAAAAACCTGCAGAGTGCACAATAGATAAGCTAACACACAAACATTTGACAGCCGCAAAGAAAATAAGATCATTTATTTTGTGGGATTAGACACAGCAGCAGGAGCTGCCAAAGGGAAGCCACTCCTCTAATGCTTGCACACAAAAAAGAGGCAGTAAACCAACATTAGATAACAACTACTATGATAATTACTTTTAATAGTTTATATTCACATTATTTTAGAGAAACATATTTAATTGTATTTACAAAGAATAATCGTGAAAATATATTTAAAAAAAAAACTATAAGTTCACCACCCAGTCCCTTTACAGTATGGAGGCCTGTGGTTTTAAAACATTGAGCTTTAACACAAAAAAAGCAGAACTGGCTTGCTTTTCTTTTTATTTATAATTTTTTCTCTATTCCACTTAGTTTCATTTCACTTATCTCAAACAAAAGCCAAATAAACACTTCATAACTGATGCAATGGTTATAGTTGACCATTGTCCTCAATATTTTACTGCACAAAAATGTATTAAAGTAGTTCCTAACATCTCACAGGGGTTAGATTAGAACAATGCTTATTTTTACAAAATTTGGTGGTTGTCCAAAATAATAACTGTGAGATCGTTTTACTCCAAACATACTATTTGAAATGTTTCTCCCTGAAACCAAACTAACGTTTTTTTCACAGACAAAAAGACATATTTTCCAACTATAATACTTGTCAAGGTATGTGTCTGAATTGTTTTTTATCTCTCAGGTATAATTTATTATTTTATGTATATTGTAAATCTAGGGTATCATCCAAAAACAGGTTCTACCATTTTCTTTGCCACGATCACTCTTACAAGCCACCCACCCTTGCTTGTTCTACAAATCTGGCAGGACGCATGTGCTATTAGCACCCTTCTTTTTTGTCTCTGTGCCCACCTTATCTTTGCACAGATGGCATCATTTATGGAGCAAGAGGTCTGAGCAGGGCTTCCTGGACACATGTCAAGGAAGCCCACACCCCCACCTTCACTCCACCGCTCTTAAAGTCAGTTTTAGTGCCAAAGCAGCTAATGAGTCAGACATTGTCTGAATTTAAAGATCTGTGGATATATTTATAAAAGGATTTGAAGTGGCTGAAGATTAAGTTTCATGCAGTCGGAGATTATCAATCTGAAGAACCCGAAGGAGTATTAAATTAAAATGTGTGTAATCTGATAATGACCACACTGGTGCAGCTGTATTGATCTGTGGGGTATTACTCCTGTCACTAACCTATTTATAAGGCATATGAAGATGCACAACTACCTCTTTAAGACTAAAATATCTATGAAATTCTCACAGTATGATTTATTTGGAGTAAAACTACCACAGTTTCAAACATAATTGTATTGGCACAGAAAATTCTAAGCTATATTGTAGCTTTTATCAATTTATTATTGGAAAAATAAAACAAGACTGTCTAAAGTAGTCTAAAAGTCACAAATAGCATATTATTGTTGGTTTTGCTACCCATAAGTTGGTGCATATGTATTAATCTCAATTTGTTCTAAAATAAAGTTTCGCTGACGAGGAAGTACAGGAGAAAGACTATTGAGAAGTGGTGCTATTATTATTATTTTTTTTTTGCAAAAGATGAGTAAAGAATGGCTGACAAGAGAAGATGATATGTGTCATAAATTTGGTGATGAAGCTCTAGAGAGAGGATTTGCTTTGGCAAAGAAAAAAAGATGAAATGTACCAATCACCCTGCTGCAAAAATATTTGATGTATTATTGGTATTACTTTCTAAAAAAATATGTATTCATTTTTATTTTGATCACAATACACAGACTTGGAAAATGATCAAAAAATACTACTCATGTAATCTAGTAGTAGTTTACAGTTGCTTTTTATGTATAATATTGCCCTTTTGTTTTTCTTTTTTATCTTTATATCGTTATTATATTTTACATCATGTAGCAGTACAAAAAGGACAATCTAGTATTAGCTGGTAAATTATTTCAGGCTCTGACAGCATAACATAGATGCTGCTCGCAGCTTGCCCATATAATTTCAAACATTACTTTAATATGATGAAGGGTGCCATTATTATACATTTTAAACCATGAGAGACTGCAGTTCCTTCCAAAACAGACACGCAGCATTTACAGCGAGATTTTAGAATAAGACATTTTAATTTTCCATCCTGTATAAAGCTGGTGAAAAGTCCAGTTTCTCTAAAACTTTTTCTGCTTTCTTTTTAAAATGACTTGAACTGTCCGCAGGACGTATGCTGAGCCTCCCATTTTGCAGTTTAGTGCTGCCAACACAGCAGCTGATTTAATTTATGCTCTTTTGATTAATTTTTTTATGGAAATTTAACTGGTTAAAATATTTCATAGATTCTTACTTATTAATACACCTTTTATAACATTGACTTTATTACCTTGACAGTAAACCTGCAGTAAGGTAACAAATAATATTTTCAGTATGGGTTTGGTATAATATATTTTAAGTGCTATGTATGCAACTTTTGCATGCCAATACTATATTTGGCCTGATAGGAAGAATTTCATTTACATTGATGGCCACACCTGACGTAACTTCTGAACAGCTGAGATACTGACAAGAGTATCAGAATATATAGTGTTTTTAATGAAGGTGTTTTATTTAATCTAAAAATGATATTGTGAAAAGTGTTGTTTTTTGGGGGGATTTTTCTGGAAGATGTTTTTCTTTTCATCTATTGTTTTCTTTTTTTATGTTGTTAAGTTTTGACTTTTTAGCTTAGTCGGATATTGCATTAATGATGTAGATTCAGCGTTCCGATCCAGTCATTTCCTTTTTTTTTATATTAACATCAATACAATTACTTGGATTTATTTTTTTTGGAATCCTATGTTTGTAATGCCAGTGACATCAGTATGCAGAGCAAGCACAGCAGCTAGTGATGAATTATATCTGTGTTCATTTGTGAGCTTTTTAGTATTACAATGTTTATGTCAACCTTAATAAATTACTTAAACGGCAAGGTATACAGCTCTTTTATTCAACAGTAGTATCGGATGGGAATCTGTTGTTGGCAAATTTGGTATCGGATTAAATTGAAAGCAGTTGGATCGGTCCATCTCTAGTATACACCTGTGCTTTTATTGCTGGAGAGACATACCAAAATTACCCTACAGCGGAAAACAAGGAGTATTTATTTTCTAACAACAACAAAACAAGCAAGTTTGGGTTCATGTTACTAGATATTACCATCAAAATAAAAATCAGCAGTATTGTAATAAATGTTTCCCTTATATTCTGCAGAGCTACTTGGTTGCAGCCAATGACTAATGTAAACTGAAACATGCATACTGTACATCAAACATTTTGGAATTCATTCTTGCCTAAGGAATCACTAATCATTATCACTTATTAGTTTGTGTTCTTATAGGTAATGATTTTAAAAATTAAATGCATGTGTCCATCTGTTCATGTCCGGATACCTTAAGATGATCAATGGACAAACAAAAAAAAAAACAGACAAAAAAAACAAAAACAAGAGAAGAGTTTATCGTCTTGCCATATTATCATACAACCATGTTTTTACTTTAATGATTTCATGTCTGACAGTATAATGTATTCAAGCCACACAGAGCAACTCCATCTTACAGTGATTATATAAGCGACAGATGAAAGACTCAGGTTAGTGACGATCCCTCCCTTCGTCTTCCAACGTGTGTGTAATTGTGGGTGTATGTGAACACAGATAAGCTTTCCTCTAAGATCCTGTCTGGGGTACAAAACACACAGCTGTACGCTGTCACCCTCTATTTGGTGTGTGACACTTGCAGTTGGAGAGGAGAGCTAAAAAAGACAAGAACATCTAACGATGAGAATAGGACAGAAAGGGGTAGATTGGTTTGATGGAAATAGAAAGCTTGGATGGCGGTAAAAGCCAAAAAAAAAGTGGGAAAAAAGGTTTAATGCAGAAAAATAAAAACTGAAAGAATGACGGCCTGTCAGTCAAAAGCGAAATACGTAAACAGGTGCATGAAAATTCTGAGAGGAAATTAAGTTGCAAGGCGTGAAAAGGGATTTAGAAGTGTGTAGAAACTGTCTGCTCTCCCCACAGTTTACATTCTCAGTCAGAAGTTGTCATGCTGCTGGTGCTGCAGGTACTCAAGCATTATGTAATTATGCCAGACTCAAAGTAGGGCAGCGCTCTTCTCCTCTCGCAGCTATGAGCATTCAAGAGTGATTTCACTGTGACTGACCATATCCTTACTCCTAATACCACTTCATTCTGCTGATGGCCATTCTCAGCCATCCACTGGTAATATATGCCATTAATAGCAGCAGTACAGAGGCCTTTACACTAATCAGCTTTTAGGCAGCTGGAGTCAATAACAGGTTGTATCTTAGAGGGTTTATTCTCAAACATGCATCTGTTAAAATGGAAAATACCTTAAATCAATAGGTTATTAAACTTAAGTCTTAGTGAAATCAGTCCATATTAATTGGTAGGGATGTTCCTATAAATATCAGCTATTGGTGTGATATTAGTCCAAAAAATGTATATCAGATTTTCAAATCTAAAATCTGATATTTTCATG